GCATATAAATTGGGAGGGGAGTAAATAATGTTAATTTCTAAGGACTTTGCATTGTTTATAAAGAGAATAAAAGTAACTAGTAATTTTAGACATTGACAGTTCAGGGTTGCTCATTGTAATCTCTTACCAAAATAGACTATGAAAAGTCTATAACTAACTACAGAGTTAACAGAAAGGGAAAAATTGAAATGATGAAATGTAGTCCACAAGAAGACAAGAAAGGAGAGGAAAAGGGATAATTGTATAGGCAAGAATAACAGATTGAAAAAGAAAAAGTTAAATACAACTCTATCAATAATATATTAAGTGAAAATAGATTTGATGCTTGAATTACAACTGTATTCAATATTTTGTCAGAGGTCCTAGTCAAGGAAATAAGGAAAGAAAAATAAAAATGATAAAGACTGGATAAGAAGAAATAAAACTATTATTTATACACAACATGTGGACCTAAAAACTCAAAAGATATCTAGGTAAACCATTAGAATCAATAAGTGAGTTAAAAAAGGTGGTTAGACCAATGTAAAAAGAAACTGTATTTTTATATACAGATACCATGTAGAAAATGAGATAAAAAAATTACAATAGCATCAAAGAACATCAAAATCTAGGGAATAAACATGAGAAAATGTGAGATCTTTAAACTAGAAACTATAAACATTGAAAGAAATTTTCATGTTCATGGATTGAAGAATCAATATTGTAAACATGTCATTTGTGCCTAGATTGTTATATTTATCCAACGTAATTTCAATCAAAATCTCAGAGAATTATTTTTTTTAATGAAAAGCCAATTCCAAAAATAAATGTGGGAAAGTAAAAGGCTCCAGAAGAACTAGGATAATCTTAAGAACAAAGTGAATAGATGTCCTCTATTAGATACTAAAACTTATGAAACTTTAGTCTTTAAAATAATATAGTCTTGCTGCAGAGTTAGACCATGGAAACAAACCAGGAATTCCAGAAACAGACACATATATGGACGTCTGATTTGTAACAAAGGTGGTGCTGCATGGCAGTGAGGACAGAACTTTCTTCAATAAGTGATACTGGGTCAATTGAATATTCATATGGAGAGGAAAGTGAAACTTTATTGCCGAATCACCCTGCATATAAAAATCAGTTAGAAGTAGACTATAGACATAAATGTTGTAGCCAAAATAGTAAAGCTTCTAGAAACAGGAGAAAATCTCTAGGACTTTGATGGTAAAGAGAGATTTCTGGCCACAAAAACCACTGACAAAAAAAGATAAAAACTCTGGACTGCAGTAAAGTTAAGAAACAATGGAAGATGTTTAAGAAAGTGAAAAGAAGCTCCAGAGAGGAAGATGGTACTCGAAACACATATAATTGAGCAAAGAACTGGTGTCCAGAATAAGGAATTTCTACACATCCATAAGGAAGAGACAGAACATCATTTGAAAAATAGAGAGACTTAACAGACCCAACATAAAAGAGGATATCCAGATGGCCAGTAAATATGAAAAGCTATCACAAAAATTACAGATTAAGGCCACAGTGACATAACAATAAACATCCTTATAATTGCTAAAATGAAACAGACTGACAGTACCAAGTGTTGATGAGGAGCTAGGAATACTGCTGGTAGGAATATACATTGGTACAGCCACTTTGGAAGACTGGTCGATAGTGAGTACTAAAGCTGAGCGTGCGCAAATTTTTATGACCCAGAAGTTTCACTCCTATTAATGTACTCAACAAAAATACATGCACGTTGGCACCAAAAGACACATACAAGAAGGTTCTTCACAGCATTATTAGTAATAGCCAAAAGCTGGAAACAACACAATTGTCCGTCAAGAGTAGAATGAATGAATGAAATATGGCATATTCATACAATGAAATATTATGCAGAAAAGAAAATGAACAGATTCAGCTAATATGGATGAATATCACATATATAATTTGAGTAAAATAAGCTGAATGCAAAAGCATACATATTATATGACTCCACTTTTATACATTTCAGAAAATTTCAAAACTATAGTATTAAAAGTTAGGTAATAGTTACTTTTGGGGAAAAGGGAAGGGATATTAGATTGGGATGGGACATTACAGGGATTTCTGGATGCTTGTCAACTTTTCATGGATAGATGGTAAGGATGTGTCTACTTTGTGATAGTTGATTGAGCTGTATGCATATGATTTGTGTACTTTATGTATGTTATACATCAATTCAAAAAATCTAAAGGAACTGACACCTTATGGGATGTAAATGAAGTTTTCTATTCACATTTCTTTTTTCTTTTTGCCTTGGCAGAGAGAGGACAAGGTTGGATTTTATTATTTATTTTTGTAATTTCAACTTTTATTTTAGATTCGGGGGGACACATGTCCAGGTTTGTTACGTGGGTATATTGTTTGATGCTGAGGTTTGGGTTACAAATGATCCCATCATTCAGGTAGTGAGCATAGTACCTGATAGGTAGTTTTTCAGCCCTTGCCCCCTGCCCTGTCTCTCCTGACCCAGTATCTCCCAGTGCCTTTTATTCCCATCTTTATGTCCACATGTACCTAATGTTTAGCTCCCACTTAAAAGTGAGAACATGCGGTATTTGGTTTTCTGTTCCTGTGTAAATTTGCTTAGGATGATGGCCTCCAGCTGCATCTATGTTGCTGCAAATGACACCATCTCATTTTTTATGGCTGTGTAGTATTCCATGATGTATATGTACCACATATTCTTTATTCAGAAAGGTTGGATTTTAACTGAATATTTACTTGTTTCCTTGTGCATTTGTCCCCTTTAACCACCAGGCATTCTAACTCTGGTGATGGGTCCTGGACAGTGGAGAGTTTTGTAGCAGGATTTTGAAAGTGTCATAATGTAGATTGTTCCTGGGGCTAGGAGCACTAGCTAGCATGGACCTCTGAAGTCAACATGGAAGAAGATAATGCCAAGAGTTGTAACAGTGGTCAGGAGTTAGCAACCTGATTTAAGTTCTTTAACACCTTTACCGGGATATTTTAAAATATCTTTTCTAAGTATTGTTAAATTAAAATGCACGATTAAATTATAAATAACATGTTAGAAATATGCCATTTCCTAGCATGATACAAAGAAAGAGGATAAGCTTTGGAGTTATTAAAATCCTGGCCTTGCTGTTTGCTCAGTATAAAACTTTGGGCAGTTTACTCTTAATTCTTTTTTTTTTTTTTCTTTTCTTTTCTGTTTTTTTTTGTTGTTGTTGTTTGAGACAGAATCTCCCTCTGTCACCCAGGTTGGAGTGCAGTGATGCAGTCTCAGCTCACTGCAACCTCCGCCTCCAGGGTTCAAGCAGTTCTCCTGCCTGAGCCTCCCCAGTAGCTAGGACTAGGCACGCAGCACCACCATGCCTGAGTAATTTTTTTTTTGTTCACTAGAGACGGGGTTTCGCCTTGTTGGCTAGGCTGGTCTTAAACTGACCTCAGGTGATCTGCCCACCGCAGCCTCCCAAAGTGCTGGGATTACAGGCCTGAGCCACTGTGCCCAGCCCAGTTTACTCTTAATTTTTTGTACCTTAGTCTTTTCATGCTAAATGGGGACAATATTCTTAGTGAAAAGTCAGTGAAGATTACTGTGTAAATGGAATAGCACTGTGTTTGGTACATCATAGGTGCTCCATAGGTAGACTTTTTCCCATTCTGCTTGCTAGTCCACTAAATAATATTAGTAAAGAAGGAATCTTTCTAACCGTAGAGAGAATTACAAGTCTGAAAAATTTAGTGTATTTATTTTAATTTTGTGTTCAAGTTAGGATTTTTAATTTCTGAAAGAAAATAAAGGGGCCTTTTTTGTCAGTTAATCTTTGACCTCTTTTAATACAATAATCCAACCCTGTTCTCTCTCTTAACAGATTTTCATTTTAAAAAACATTTACTCATTGAAAAAGATAAGAATTTATAAGAAAAATTGAAAAATTACCCATAACTGCACCACACTGACATCTGTACTAGTAAGGTTTGGTATACATACACACTAGTCCCCCGTTATCTGTGGTTGGTTTCAGTTACAGCCAAACATGACTGGAAAATATTATATGGAAAATTCCAGAAATAAATGGGCAAATAAATTGCACGTCATTCTGAGTAGCTTGATGAAATCCTTTGCTGTCACTCATTGTCCCACTCAGAATATGAATCATCCATTTGTCCAGCATATTCCTGCCGTTTATACCATCTGCCCATTAGTCACTCAGTAACTGTCTTGGTTATTAGATTAACTGTTGAATATCATGGTGCTTGTGTTCAAGTAACCCTTATTTTACTTTTATTACAGTGTATTGTTATAATTGTTTTGTTTCATTATCAGTTATTGTTGTTAATCCCTTACTATGTCTAGTTTATAAATTAATCTTTATCATAGGTACGTAAGGAAAAACATATATAGGTTTGGTACTATCCACCGTTTCAGGCATCCACTGGGGGTCTTGGAACAAATCCCCTGAGGATAATAGGGGACTACTGTAATTTCTTCCATTTACTTGTCTGTATGTTTTTAAACTGTAGTTTGACATGAAACCATACATGTAGTTTTTGCATTCCTCATTTTTTTCTAAATCCAGCACCTTAGACCGCTTGGCCACACTGCCACACTCATTTTTTCTTAATATGTAACATTTCCCCATGTTATTAAAAATTCTTTGTATTATTTTAGATAGCTGCGTAGTATTACATCTTAGAGCCTATTATAACTGAAGTCTTTTACTGTTAGAAACTTAGGAGGTTTCCAGTTTTTTGTTATGCTGTGATAATGGTATCTTTTTTGCATGAATCATTTACCTTTAAGACTATTTCCTTAGGCTATACTTAGGGAAATCTCATTATTTTACCTAAGGGAAAGTAGTTTTATGGTTTTTAGATGCAAATTTCAGAATTGCTTTATAGAAAAGCTGTCAGTTCATAATTTAACCAGGAGTATATAAATGAATCCATTTTGTCGAACTCTCACTACTAAATACTATCCATTTAAAAATATTCCATTTCTTTTTTCTTTATAGCATTTGTTCAGTGCTCAGCACAGGAGTTTGACCAGACAGAGTAGACGTCAAATATGTACCAGCAGTTTGATGGAGCGTTTCTTACAGGATGTACTGCAGCACCACCCATATCACTGTCAAGAGAGCAGGTAAAGTAGTTGATTGGAATAATATTTATACGTAGTTACATGTTACAGTGGGTGTTTGTGTTCATGTCCCAATCAATACTTTAAGTGAATCTTTGAATCAAGGAATATAAAGTGAAATTTTAGTAACTTTCATTTGCAATTTTAAATTTTTCTTAGCTTAAGTAAGAAATTTCACTATAGAAGATATGGACTACATTATGTTTTTTTCCTAAATAAAAGTCTTAGGCTAATAAATAATTGTATATCATTAAGATGTTTTGTAAGTATGTTACAGGATTAAGCAGGGGGAAAAGGAGGAAGAAATAGTTTTTATCTGTTTGTTTGTTTGTTTTTTCTGAGGTGGAGTTTCGCTCTTGTTGCCCAGGATAGAGTGCAATGGCATGATCTCAGCTCACCGCAACCTCCACCTCCCAGGTTCAAGCGATTCTCCTGCCTCAGCCTCCCGAGTAGCTGGGATTACAGGCGTGCGCCACCATGCCTGGCTAATTTTTTGTATTTTTATTAGAGGCAAGGTTTCCCCATGTTGGTCAGGCTGGTCTGGAACTCCCGACCTCAGGTGATCCACCCAGCTTGGCCTCCCAAAGTGCTGAGATTACAGGTGTGAGCCACCGCACCTGCAAAATAGTTTTTGGAAGGTTAGCAACAGAAAATCTGATGACAAAAGCAGAGTAAGGACAATCAAGTCAAAACTGAGTCAGTTCCACATTAATAGAACTCTTTGCTAATTCTGAGTAAAAGAGATATCAAAAAGAATTGGGTTTTTAAATAATCTGTCTTTATTTTGATAGCTTTTCTTGTCTCCATTTGTTTTAGTTGTTTTTAATAAAAGTAATTATTTTGATAACATTTAAGAGTTAATGCCCTATGTTAAAGAAAAACATTGGTAGAAAATCAGATTAAATACTGTGGTAAGTTTTTAGCTCCAGCTGTACAAGATAAGGTGAAAATAGATCATTAGCACATCTGTGCAGAATTAACTGAGATGTGCACCAATTAGTAGAAAAAGAGATAAACTTCTTTGCCTTGCAGATCACTAACATAGACCTTAGAAATGGCAAAAATATTTTAATGGGGAAAAGTTAGAGGAAAACAAGATGATTTCTTAGCTGATGGGAAGATAGAATTAGCCTATCCTGGGGTCAGTATAAATTTCCAGTTTTTTTGTTTTTTTTTGAGACGGAGTCTTGCTCTGTCACGATCTCAGCTCACTGCAACCTCCGCCTTCCTGATTCAAGCAATTCTTCCTGCCTCAGTCTCCCGAGTAGCTGGGATTAGAGGCACACATCACCACGCCTGGCTAATTTTTTTGTATGTTTAGTAGAGACTGGGTTTTGCCATGTTGGCCAGGCTGGTCTTGAACTCCTGACCTCAGATGATCTGCCCGCTTTGGCTTCCCAAAGTGCTGGGATTACAGGCATGAGTCACCGTGCCCAGCTCCATTGTATAAGTCTCATGAGCAGTGCTTCAGCAAACATGTTTTTACATGAAACTGTTTCTTTTTTGTTTTGTTTTGTTTTTTTGAGACAGAGTCTCACTCTGTTGGCTAGGTTGGAGTGCTATGGCATGGTCTTGGGTCATTGCAACCTCCATCTCCCGGACTCAAGCAATTCTCCTGCCTCAGCCTCCCGAGTAGCTGGGATTACAGGCATGTGCCACCATGCCTGGCTAATTTGTGTATTTTTAGTAGAGATGGGTTTCACCATGTTGGCCAGGCTGGTCTCAAACTCCCGACCTCAGGTAATCTGCCACCTCGCCCTCCCAGAGTGCTGGGATTACAGGCGTGAGCTACTGCGCGCGGCCACATGCAACTATTTCTATGTTATATCTTGCTAGAATTTGAAGTTCTGGGTCAGAGTTTATGGACCTTAAAAATGTTTTTTTAATTTTTTTTTTTATTTTTTAACTTTCCTTTTTGGAATAATTTCAGGCTTACAAAAATGTTGCAAAACGGGTACAAGAAGTTCTTGGATCACCTTCCCCTGGCTTTCTCAAATATTAAATCCAAAATAACCCCAGAGGGCCAGGAATGGTGGCTCACACCTGTAATCCCAGCACTTTGGGAAGCCAAGGAGGGCTGATGGCTTGAGGTCAGGAGTTCAAGACCAGCCTGGCCAACATGGTGAAACCCCTGTCTCTACTAAGAATATAAAAATTAGCTAGGCATGTTGGCACATGCCTGTAGTCCCAGCTACTTGGGAGGCTGAGGTAGAATAGTTCCTTGAACTATACTCCAGCCTGGGTGACAAAGCTAGACTCCATCTTAAAAAAAAAGATTAAAAAAAAAAACCACAGTACAATGATAAAAACCAGGAAACTACAAATGCAGTAGGAGGATTACTTGACTACGGGAGTTGGAGGCTGCAGTGTACTTTGACCTCCCCGCAGCCCGTGAATAGGTGCATCCAGCCTGGGCAACAAAGTGAGGCCTGTCCTGGCCTCTAAAAAAAAACAAGCCCCAAGCTGGACGCAGTGGCTCACACCTATAATACCACCACTTTGGGAGGCCGAGGTGGGCGGATCACCTGAGGTTGGGAGTTTGAGACCAGCCTGACCAACATGGAGAAACCCTGCCTCTACTGAAAATACAAAAAATTAGCTGGGCATGGTGGTGCATGCCTGTAATCCCAGGTACTCAGGAGGCTGAGGCGGGAGAATTGCTTGAACCCGGGAGGTGGAGGTTGTGGTGAGTCGAGATTGTGCCATTGCACTCCAGTCTGGGCAACAAGAGCGAAACTTCGTCTCAAAACAAACAAACCCAAAGCAGAATCTCCCTGAATCCTGCTCAGAGGGAGCCAATTTTAAAAACACAAAAACCAGAAACCAAGAAATTACATTGATACCATACTAACAGCTAATCTATAGACCTTGTTTAAATTTTGTTGGTTGTCTTAACTCATGTCCATTTCTTGGACCAGAAGCCAATCCAGAATCACACATTGCATTTTGTTGTCAGCATCTCCTTAGTTTTCCTTTATCTTAAATCGTTCCTCAGTTTTTCTTTGTTTTTAAGACCATGATACTTTCTTTATAGAGTACTGGCCAGTTAATTTATGGGATAGCCTTCAATTTTTGTCTGTCTGATATTTTCTTATGATTAAACTTTGGTCATGCATTTTGGGCACGAATATCTTAGAATTGTTGTGCCCTTCTCAGTGTGGAATCAGGAGACACATAATGTTGCCCTATCATTTGGGTGATGTTAGCTTGAGCCACTTGATTAAGGTACCACTGTCTGCCAAGTTACTCCACTGTGAAGTTACTGTTTTTCCTAATTAATAAGGATCGGTATGGGGAAGAACTTTGAGACTGAGTAAATACCCTGTTTCTTATCTTACTTTTGCCCACTTATTTTGTGCAGCCATTAATGATTCTTTAATCAAAATTCTACCATAAAGAAGATCTTGTTCTTTCACTTATTTATTCAAGTATTTAATATTTATTTATATCATTATAGACTCATGGATATTTCTTTTATTCTATGGGTTTTAATTTGTTACTAGTTATTATTTATTTTGTTGCTCACATTGTGTATGGACATTTGAAATCCTTGCTAGACACTTCCTAGAAGGCTATACCAATTTATACTCACACCAGCAGCATAAGAGAATGCCGATTTCCTGTCACTGTTGCTAACCCTGGGATTATCAGCTTCTTTTTTCCCTACCAAAATAATGGGCCAAAAATGTGTAGATATACATACTGATAATCCCATATTATCTATTTTCAGGTAGAACTTTTTTGTGTATTGATTGGCCATATTTTATTCTATGATATGTTTGTTAATATTCTTTGCCCATTTTTCTATTGAGTTATTTGTATATTTTGGCTTTGTAAGCAATATTTGAGTATGAGTAATATCCTTTGTATTTTAAATGTGTTACAGATTTTTTTTCGGAACCCAGTTGTTTGTCTTTTAACTGTATATGTTATTCTTTATCATACAGAAATTAAAATTTTTGATTTAATCAGATGTAAGGAGAATTTTTCTTTACGGCTTCTTTTATGCCTTTTTCTTCATGCCTTTGTTTTTTGTTTTAAATACTTGTAATCATCTTGGAGTTTCTTTTTATATGTGGTGTGAGGCAGGACTTCTTGTATCTCTCATTATCCCTGCTAATATAAAATGTCACCACCTGTGTCATAACCTGAGTTCTTGTATTTGTGTATATGTGTGTATGTGGATCTTTTTGCATATCATTTTGTTTCCTTGATTTTAAAAAAATCACATGCCAATAGTACATTATTTTATTATATATGTATAAACTTTCTAACTTACAGGATTTATGATTTAAAAAAATTTCCTTTCTGTTCTCCTCTTGTCTAGACATTGTAAATTTTTCTATTTTAGCTTTCCTGAAAGTCAGCTCTTGCTTTATTTTTGTTTTGTCTTCATTAATTTTTTCCTTTTCTTAATGTATTTCATCTACCTTCTTATGGGGGCAATTTGGTTGTTATTTTTTTCATCTTAAATTGGATGCCCAGTTGTATTTATGAATTCTTTTCTTAATGGAAGTATTTAAAAGTATGACGTTTTTATTTTGGCCATATCTCATAGTTTTTATTTCTTTTAGATAATTTAAAAAATATTTTCTTTTTAGCCCAAGAGTTTTTCTTTTTAGCTCAAGAGTTTAGCTGTTTTTTGTTCGTTTGTAGGTCTCACTCTGTGGCCCAGGCTGGAGTGCAGCGTGTGATTATAGCTCACTGTAGTCTCAAAGTCCTGGGCTCAAGTGACCCACCTGCTTCAAACTCTCGAGTATCTGGGACTATAGGCATGTACCACCATGCCTGGCTTATTTTTTAAAATTTTTGTAGAAACAGGATCTCATTATGTTGCCAAGGCTGTTCTCGAACTCTTGGCCTCAAGTGATCTTCTCACTTGAGTCTTCCAAAGTGAGGGGATTACAGGCGTGAACCACCACACCTGGCCAAAAGAGTGGTTTTTAATCTTTAATGGTTAGCTTTTTAGAGAGCTTTTTTTTTGTTGTGTAGTTACAAATGATGTGTTAAATGTGGATTATGATTTAATTGTTAAACATATTATACACACACAAATACAGATGCAGATCAAAGCATCCAGATGGCAGTTCATGACCTTCTTGGGATTTTACAAACTGTATGATTTTATGATTCTACCTTCTTTTCTTTTCTCCCTTTTCTTTCTTTTCTTAGCTACATGTTGCAAAATTGGTTTTATTTTGAGAATGTTGTGGTAGTCCTTAAGACAAATGAAGAAGTCTAGGGTTCTGAAGAACTAGAGTAAAGTGGTTGTTGCACTGCAATGTCATTGTTGAGAAGTATGAAAAATTAGGATTGTTTTTTGCTGCATCACAATACTTTGGATGCCGGGTTAACTTTTTTATTTTCCAAATTCAAAATTAATATTAAGGCAATCAATTTATATGGGAAAGATAGTAACAGTAATACTTAGGCTAAAATAAAATTGCATATGGCTGACACATGTGCATGTGCTCTTAGACAAATGACATCTCAAATTGGAAAAATTCAATACATTTTTAGGTGTTTATTTTTAATTTTTATAGGCTGTTTTTATAAACAAACAGTTTCAGATTAATGGAAACATTGAGGAAATAGTACAGAGTGGGCCTATAATGCTCTCTCACCCAATTTCTCGATTATTAACTTTAATGTGGTATATTTGTTACAAGTAATGAACTGATATTAGTAAAGTCCATGGTTTATTCAGACTTCTTAGTTTCTACTTAAACTAAGTTTTCTTAAACTAAGATTTCCTTAGTTTTACTAGTTTTTCTGTTTCAGAATCACATCCAGGATACCACATTACATTCACTTGTAATGTCTCTTTAGGTCTCTCTTGGCTGTGACAGTTTAACCTTTTTTTTTTTTTTTTTTCTTAAGTCTAGATGTGATGATACTTACCTCCTTGAATTGTTATTATTTTTTATGTGTCTGCCTTCTGCAGCTACTTGAATGGTCTTTAAGAGGCAGCTCAACTTTTTTTGAATTTGCCTTAGTACCTAGCATAGTGCCTGTAATGCAGTAGTAAGTCCTTAGTAGATGGTTGTTACGTGAATGAATGTTTGCCTGACTTTAAGAATTCAGGCTAGGCCGGGCGCGGTGGCTCAAGCCTGTAATCCCAGCACTTTGGGAGGCCGAGACGGGCGGATCACGAGGTCAGGAGATCGAGACCATCCTGGCTAATACGGTGAAACCCCGTCTCTACTAAAAAATACAAAAAACTAGCTGGGCGAGGTGGCGGGTGCCTGCAGTCCCAGCGACTCGGGAGGCTGAGGCAGGAGAATGGCATAAACCTGGGAGTCAGAGCTTGCAGTGAGCTGAGATCCGGCCACTGCACTCCAGCCTGGGCGACAGAGCAAGACTCCGTCTCAAAAAAAAAAAAAAAAAAAAACAAGAGTTCAGGCCATGGCAATATCATTAGGTCAGCTGGTTCTATACATGAAAGAGCAGTCCCTGAAATGCTTTGGTTAAACATGTTGTCTTGATACTGATAGAAGAGATTCATAGACTGATTTTAGATATGAAAATTTTGGGTCTTTTTAAAAATAATGGAATTTAAATTTTGAATGAGAAATGCATATACATAGACATAATTCACAGGGCACGTTCAAAAGTAAGTCTTCTTAAATTGCTGCCATCCTGTAATCACTTCACTAGAGGTAACACGTGATACCTCTAGACTTCTACAGTTGTATGTGCCATTCTCTAGATATTCTAAGTGCATTATTTTTTCCCTTCTATTTTACATAAATGGTAGCTTTCTGTGTACCCTTGCTTTTCACTAACAATGTTTATAGTAATTGGTTTTCATTTGTATGTATAGAGGTGTTTTATTATTTTTAAAAACCACATTGTATTCCATTAAATACCATTAATTATTTAACCAGTACCCAGTTACTGAGTATTCAGGTTGATTCTAGTCATTTGCTATTACTCCTCCCTCCTCTCAAAAGTAGCAGTAAATATTCTTGTACATGCCTCATTAAACCCATGAGAAAACCAAAAGTGGAATTAGAGGTCAGAGGGTATGTACATTCTTAATTTTAATAGACATTGCAAAATTGCTTTTTGTAGAGGTTACAAATCTACATAGAGGTTAACCAGTAACCGTTAACTGATCTATATTCCTGTGAACAATGTATTAAAGTGCCTTTGTTCTTACACCCTCACCAAAACATTGTGTTAAGATTAATAATAGCTAACATTTGTGAATGCTTACTATGTGTCGAGCTGTTTCTTCATTTTAATGCTCCTTACATGTAACAATTAATTTACTCATCAAAACAATCTCATGAGGGAAAATAGTGTAAGATTCCCTTTTTTTGGAGGCAGAAACTGAAGCATACAAAGTTAAGTAACATATGTCAAACTTTTTGCTGTTACTACTCTGATAATTGAAAAATAATATATGATTTTATTTGATTAATCATTCATGTTTAGGGGCCATTTGTATTTCAGTAGCAATTGGTAACACCACCTCCACCTTCTGCAGTAATTCCCTCCCCGCAGTCCATGCAGTGTTCAGCCTGTGGTGACTGCCTGGATAGTCCTTTAAGGATAGTCCAGAATAGAAAGCAAATAACGTTTATTATGCCTCTCTTTTAATATTTTAAACAGATATTAGAATATGTTTATGAGTCTCCCCCCTTTCTTTTTAGTTCAACACAAGATGAGACACATGTGAATACTGGGTCATCATCTGAAGTGGTGCATTTGGATGATGATTTTTCTGAAGAAGAGGAAGAGGATGAGGATAAGATTGAGGATGAGGATGCTACTGAAGAGAGACCCTCCGAGGCTTCAGAACCTATTGAAGAGTTACATTCCAGACCTCATAAATCTCAGGAAGGCACACAGGAGGTTTCAGTTCGACCATCAGTTATTCAAAAACTGGAGAAGGGACAGCAGCAGCCCTTGGAGTTTGTTCATAAAATTGGGGCCGGTGTGAAAAAATGTAATCTAGTAGATATTGGTCAGGCTACAAATAATGGAAGCAACTTGGTACGCCCGCCAGTGATTTATAATGCTCCTGCTAGTTGTTTATCTGAAAGCTCTAATGATAGACCAGTTACAACTAATACAACTGGTTTACCGGCAGCAGCTCATTTGGATTCAGTTAGCAAGTGTGACCCAAACAAAGTTGACAAATACCTTGAACAGCCAGACGGGGCCTCTAGAAATCCTGTGCCATCATCCCATGTAGAAACTTCTTCATTTTCACATCAGAAACCTAAAGAATCAAATAGGAAATATTTACGCATGAATTCAGATAAGTTGGTTTTGTGGAGAGATGTAAAATCTCAGGGTAAAACTTTGTCAGCTGGCTTGAAATTCCAGGAACGCATGGGTACTAAGGGCTCCTTAAGAGTTAAATCTCCTTCCAAATTAGCAGTAAACCCGAATAAAACTGACATGCCTTTGAATAAAGGAATCTTTGAAGATACTATTCCAAAGCACCATGAGGAATTCTTTTCTAATATGGATTGTACCCAAGAAGAAAAGCACTTGGTTTTTAACAAGAAAGCCTTTTGGGAACAGAAGTGCTCAGTGAGTTCTGAAATGAAGTTTGATTGTAGCTCTCTTCAGTCAGCATCTGATCAGCCCCAAGAGACTGCACAAGACATAAATCTTTGGAAGGAGGAGCGAATTGACCAAGAAGATAACTATGAATCTAGAGGTTCAGAAATGAGTTTTGATTGCAGTTCCTCTTTTCATTCACTGACTGACCAATCTAAAGTGAGTGCCAAAGAAGTAAACCTTTCCAAGGAAGTATGTACTGATGTACAGTATAAGAATAATACATCTTATGTTTCTAAAAGAAGTTCTGATTGCGGTGACATTCTTCACTTGGTTACGAACCAATCCCAAATGACTGTTAAAGAAATAAGTCTTCAGAATGCAAGGCGTATTAGCCTGGTTGACCAAAGCTATGAATCTAGTGATTCTGAAACAAATTTTGATTGTGATGCGTCACCTCAGTCCACTAGTGACTACCCTCACCAATCTGTAAAAGAAGTAAGCCTTTCTAAGGAAGTGCACATTGGTTTGGTTGATAAGAACTATGGTTCCAGTAGTTCTGAAGTAAGTGCTGATTCTGTTTTCCCACTGCAGTCAGTGGTTGACCGACCCCCGGTGGTTGTCAGAGAAACAAAACTTCGGAAGAAGGCTCATTCTGGCTTGGTTGATAACTATGGATCGAGTTGTTCTGAAACAAGTTTTGATTGTGATGTTTCTTTTGAGTCAGTAGTTGATCATCCCCAGCTGACTGTCAAAGGAAGAAACCTGAAAGGTAGACAAGTCCACCTAAAACATAAGAAGCGTAAACCCAGTAGTGCTAAAGCACGTTTTGATTGTGATGTCTCACTCGGGACAGTTGCAGATGAATCCCAGAGGGCCGTTGAAAAGATAAATCTTCTAAAGGAGAAGAATGCTGACCTTATGGATGTGAACTATGAATCCCATGGTCTTGTAATGGGTTTTCACACCGGTGCTCAGTTAGTGGCTGACCAGCCTCAAGTAGCAGAAATAGAGCCTCAGAAAGTGGATGTTGACCTTGAGAATAAGAGTGTTCAGTCTAGCAGTTCTTCTCTAAGTTCTGATTCTCCGGCTTCGCTTTATCATTCAGCTCACGATGAGCCTCAAGAAGCTTTGGATGAAGTTAATCTTAAAGAGTTAAATATTGACATGGAAGTTAAGAGCTATGATTGCTCCAGCTCTGAGTTGACTTTTGATTCTGACCCGCCTCTTCTGTCAGTTTCTGAGCAGTCTCATCTGGATGCTGAAGGAAAAGAACGGCACATTGACCTGGAAGATGAGAGCTGTGAGTCAGATAGTTCTGAAATAACTTTTGATTCTGATATTCCTCTTTATTCAGTAATTGACCAACCTGAAGTAGCTGTTTATGAGGAAGAAACTGTTGATCTGGAAAGTAAAAGTAATGAATCTTGTGTTTCTGAAATAACTTTTGATTCTGATATTCCTCTTCATTCAGGAAATGATCACCCTGAAGTAGCTGTTAAAGAAGTAATTCAGAAAGAAGAGTACATTCACTTAGAAAGGAAGAATGATGAACCCAGTGGTTCTGAAATAAGTTTGGATTCCTATGCCCCTCGTCATTCAGTGACTAATTCTCCCGAAGTAGCTGTTAAAAAGCTAAATCCTCAAAAAGAAGACCAGGTACACTTAGAAAATAAGGAAAATGAACCTATTGATTCTGAAGTAAGTTTGGATTATAATATCATTTTTCATTCAGTGACTGGACATTCTGAAGATCCCATTAAAAAAATAAACCTTCACACAAAAGAGCACATGTACTTAGAAAATAAGAGTGGTTTTGAAACAAGTTTGGATTCTGATGTCCCTCTTCGGCCAGCGACTCACAAACCTGAAGTAATTGTCAAAGAAACATGGCTTCAAAGAGAAAAGCATGCTGAATTCCAAGGTGGAAGTGCTGAATTCAGTGGCTCAAAAACAAGTTTAGATTCTAGTGTCCCTCATTATTCAGTAACTGAATCTCAAGTAGCTGTTAACAAAATAAACAGAAAGAAGCAATATGTTCTAGAAAACTATGATAAATGTAGTGGTTCTGAAATAATTTTGGATTCTAATGTTCCACCTCAGTCAATGACTGACCAAACTCAGCTAGCTTTTTTGAAGGAAAAACATGTTAATCTGAGAGACAAAAACAGTAAATCAGGTGATTCTGAAATAACTTTTGATTCTGAACAACTTCAGGAAGCGGTTAAAAAAATAGACCAATGGAAGGAAGAGGTTATTGGCCTGAAAAATAAGATTAATGAACCTAGTACTTCTAAATTAATACATGATTCTGATGTTTCTGTCCAGTCTGTGGCTGATCAACCCAAAGTAGCTATTAAACATGTAAACCTTGAGAATGAAAACCATATGTACTTGGAAGTTAAGAACAGCCAATATCGTTGTTCTGAAATGAATTTGGATTCTCGTTTCTTGGTTCAGTCAATAGTCAATCGACCTCAAATAACTATTTTGGAGCGGGACCACATTGAGCTAGAAGGTAAGCACAATCAACGTTGTGGTTCTGAAATAAGTTTTGATTCTGATGACCCTCTTCAGTCAGTGGCTGACCAGCTGAGAGAAACCGTTAAAGAAATAAGCCTTTGGAAGGATGAAGAAGTTGACATGGAAGATAGGAATGAAGCTAAGGGTTTTGAAATTATGTATGATTCTGCTGTTCTTCAGCCAGTGGCTGGCCAACCTGAAGGAGTAGTTAAGGAGGTCAGTCTTTGGAAAGAGCATGTTGACTTGGAAAATAAGATTGTCAAACCTACCAATACTAAAATAAATTTTGATTCTCATGAACCCCTTCTGTCTGTGACTAATAAAATTCAAGGGGTGAATAAAGAAATAAATCTTTTGAGGGAGGATCGTGTTTGTCTGGATGATAAGGGCTATGTGCCCAGTGATTCTGGAATAATTTATGTTTCAAATATCCCTCCTCAGTCAGTGATAAAACAACCCCAAATTTTGCAAGAGGAGCATGCCAGTCTGGAAGATAAGAGCAGTATTTCTTACAGTCCTGAAGAAAGTTCTGATTCCAGTGACTCTTTCCAGGCAGCAGCAGATGAGCTTCAAAAATCTGCCAAAGAAATAAATCTTTGGAAGGAAGACCATATTTATCTGGAAGATAAGAGCTATAAATTAGGTGATTTTGATGTAAGTTATGCTTCTCATATTCCTGTTCAGTTTGTGACCGATCAATCTTCTGTGCCTGTCAAAGAAATAAACGTGCAAAAGAAGAATCATAATCTAGAAAGTAAGAACTGTGAAGTCTGTGGTTCTAAAATAAAATGTGATTCTTGTGTTCGTCTTCAGTCAGAAGTTGACCAACCTCAAGTGTCTTACAAAGAGGCAGACCTTCAGAAGGAAGAGCATGTTGTCATGGAAGAAAAGACCGGTGGACCTAGTGATTCAGAAATGATGTATGATTCTGATGTTCCTTTTCAAATAGTGGTTAACCAGTTTCCAGGGTCAGTCAAAGAAACACATCTTCCAAAGGTGATACTTGTGGATCTGGTGCCCAGTGATAGTGATTATGAAGTAATTTCAGATGATATTCCCCTTCAGTTAGTGACTGACCCACCTCAGTTGACTGTCAAAGATATCAACTGTATAAATACAGAATGTATTGATATAGAAGATAAGAGCTGTGACTCTTTTGGTTCTGAAGTCAGATGTAGTTGTAAAGCCTCTACTCCCTCAATGTCAAACCAATGCAAAGAGACTTTCAAAATAATAAACCGGAAGAAAGACTATATTATTCTGGGAGAGCCAAGTTGTCAGTCTTGTGGTTCTGAAATGAATTTTAATGTTGATGTCTCTGATCAGTCCATGACTTACGAGTCACAAGGACCTGATGAGAAAATGGCGAAATATATTGACTCAGAAGATAAGAGCTGTGGATATAATGGTTCTAAAGGAAAATTTAATTTGGGAGACACTTCTCATCGAACGACTCACCGACTGCAGAAAGCTCGCAAAGAAGCCAAGCTTCGGAAAGATCCAAGAAATGCTGGCCTAAAAGGTAAGAGCAGTCAGTCTAGTGCTTCTGCAGTGGATTTTGGTGCCTCTTCCAAGTCAGCGCTCCATCGAAGGGCCGATAAAAAAAAACGTTCAAAGCTAAAACATAGAGATTTAGAAGATGTGAGCTGTGAACTGGATGGTTTTGAGATGAATTTTCAGTGTGCTCCCCCTCTTCTGTCTGATACTGATCAGCCTCAAGAAACTGTTAAGAAAAGACACCCTTGTAAGAAGGTGTCTTTTGACTTGAAAGAAAAGAACCGTGATTCCCAGTCAAGCTGTGTTCCCAAGGTTGATTCTGTAAGGAACCTGAAAAAAGCAAAGGATGTCATAGAAGATAATACTGATGAACCAGTTCTTGAAGCCTTACCTCATGTACCTCCTTCATTTGTGGGGAAAACATGGTCTCAGATAATGAGAGAAGATGACATGAAAATTAATGCTCTTGTGAAGGAATTTAGGGAAGGTCGTTTCCACTGTTACTTTGATGATGACTGTGAGACCAAAAAAGTTTCTTTGAAGGGGAAAAAAAAGGTTACCTGGGCTGACTTGCAGGGTAAGGAGGACACTGCACCAACTCAAGCTCTGTCAGAAAGTGATGATATTGTCTGTGGTATTTCAGATATTGATGACTTGTCAGTGGCCTTAGATAAACCATGCCATCGTCATCCTTCAGCAGAGAGGCCTCCTAAGCAAAAGTGGCGTGTGGCTTCTCAACGCCAGACAGCGAAAATCAGCCATAGTACTCAGACCAGTTGTAAGAATTACCCAGTGATGAAAAGAAAAATAATTAGACAAGAGGAAGACCCACCAAAAAGTAAGTGTTCACGTTTACAGGATGACAGAAAAACCAAAAAGAAAGTCAAAATTGGGACAGTTGAATTTCCTGCATCATGTACTAAAGTTTTGAAGCCCATGCAACCCAAAGCCTTAGTCTGTATTCTTTCTTCTTTAAATATTAAACTGAAGGAGGGTGAAGGCCTCCACTTCCCTAAAATGAGGCACCATAGTTGGGATAATGATATTCAGTTTATATGCAAATATAAACGGAATATCTTTGATTATTATGAGCCCCTGATTAAGCAAATTGTAATTAATCCTCCCCTGAATGTACTAGTACCAGAGTTTGAGAGGCGTAACTGGGTTAAAATTCATTTTAATAGGAGCAACCAAAACTCCAGTGCAGGAGATAATGATGCTGATGGACAAGGCTCTGCTTCAGCACCTTTAATGGCAGTGCCGGCAAGATACGGATTTAATTCACGTCAGGGAACCAGTGACCCTTCTCTGTTTCTGGAAGAATCAAAGATTCTGCATGCTCATGAGGTTCCAAAGAAAAGAAATTTCCAGCTAACATTTTTAAATCGTGATATTGTCAAAATCTCTCCAAAATCAGTTAGAAATAAGTTTTTGGAAAGTAAAAGTAAAAAGAAAATTCATGGAAAGAAGGTGACAACCAGTAGTAATAAGTTAGGTTGTCCCAAAAAGGTTTATAAACCAATTATTCTCCAGCAAAAACCCAGAAAAGCTTCAGAGAAACAGTCAATTTGGATTCGGACCAAACCAAGTGATATAATTAGAAAGTATATTTCAAAATACTCTGTTTTTTTACGTCATAGATATCAGTCCAGGAGGGCTTTTCTTGGAATGTATCTGAAAAAGAAAAAATCTGTTGTCAGTAGGCTAAAGAAGGTGAAGAGAACAGCTAAAGTGCTTTTGAATTCCTCAGTTCCACCAGCTGGTGCTGAAGAGCTGTCGAGCGCTACGGCAAATCCTCCTGCAAAGCGACCTGTGCCTGTGCGGGCTTCTTGCCACATCACACGAAGGAAGAAGAGGAGTGATGGAAGCTACCATGGCCGAAAGAGAAGTCCTGCTGGACCTGTGAGAGCATATGATCTGAGAAGCTCATCTTGTTTACAACAATGTGAAAGAAGGATGACTCGGCTAGCAAACAAATTGAGAGGTAATGAGATAAAATAGAAGTTGTTTTTGTGTTCAGGCTAGTTGACAATTCAGTATTTCAACTGAAATATATTTGGTACTTTGCACACACAGCTTTCCCAACTTTGGTGAGAAAACTAATCTTGAACTATTTTGCTATCAATATTATTTTTCACAATTTTTATATTCATTTAAAATTAGTGTTTAGAGTCCTTCATTTAAAATCTTTCATTTTAAGATTCAAAGCAACCTTTGTCCAACATTTTCTGTAGAAGAACTTCATCTTAATTTATGTCACAAAGTAATTTAGCACAGTATATAGAATTTTGTTCCTCAAATCATATCCCTCTTATTTTTTATGATTATCTCTCTCATCCCTGCAAATTTAACATTGTGAGAATGAATGTAGCAAACTTATTACAAAGAAGGAACTATAATGAATTATGTCAGCTTTTGAATGGGGTTGACTTAAATGAATACAAACAAAATGTAGTTTGTCTTTCTTTTTAAAACATTCCAGAAAATGAGATTCCATAATCTTTAATACAGTTTTTTAAAACTGGTGATTTTTTTTTAATGCCTAACACACTCCTCCTGCTTCGTTTAAATTGGATCTGCAAGTCTCTAACTTTTATCATTTGGATGCATGCACACATACAGTCTCTATAAGTTTTTTCGGTTAGCCTTATTGGATCTTAAAAGGGAAAATAATTTTGCCCATGTGTTTAAGCATCCCCCCCCCTTTTTTTAACCACCTTTACTCCCTTCTACATGAAGAGTTGGTGGTTTAATATGAAAATCCAGGTTACTTTGTGGCCTTATCTCCTAAAAATATTTTAGGCATTACCATATTAGTTTTTGTTTTTATTTTTATTTTTATTTATTGTTATTATTTTTGAGACGGAGTCTCACTCCGTTGCCCAGGCTGGAGTGCAGTGGCCTGATCTTGGCTCACCGCAACCTCTGCCTCCTGGGTTCAAGTGATTCTCCTGCCTAAGCCTCCCAAGTAGCTGGGACTACAGGCGTGCGCCACCATGCCTGGCTAATTTTTGTATTTTTAGTAGAGGTGGGGGTTTTACTGTGTTGGCCAGGCTGGTCTCTAACTCCTGACCTTGTGATCCACCTGCCTTAGCCTCCCAAAGTGCTGGGATTACAGGCGTGAGCCACCGCACCCAGCTTACCATATCAGTTTTTAATAACTTGTACTGAAATTATTGGCTTGGTAACATTTGGGCAGGCCATTAATTCTCATTAGAAAATTACTTAATATTTCAAAGAATTGAATAAAACTGGTAATCTTTGTGGAGGCCCATTTTGCGAGTGGAAACCTGTATTTATACATTAGTTTGTCTTTCACTTGTTAACAGATTTTAACAGTTCAAATAAAAGATGTTAACGAGATGCAGTTTGAGTCTGGGATACTCAGAATACATCCAGAACTTGCATTCAGGGACACTGATTGAGTTGGTACAGATGCATTCAGTTGTCGTTCATTCATGTTAAGCCAAGATCCTGGATCTTCTATCATTAATGTTAAGGGGAAACATGAATTACAACTATATTGTATGACTGCCGTATTTTCTTGAAACTAAGGTCAGTGTTAAACCATATCTTGATTTCAGAATTTAAAATGTGTTACCTTAGAAATAATGAAATATAGTGTAACAGTTGGTTTCTAAATGTGGTTTTATTTCAGGGGCCATTGTTTAACCTGTGTGTATGCTATGATGGAGTTCTTTTGTAATTTCTTTACTTCTAAATTTAAATAGTAATTATGTTTAAAAACAAATGTTTTTGTTTTTAGTTGCAAAGCAGCATATATCTCATTTCCTTCGACCTTGCCTCCTCATACACAAATATATTTTCATTTCTCTTCTTAAAAGATCACTGTGGGCCAGTAGTTTAAAATAATCCTCCAATTTTAATTTAGGAACAAAGCTTTATCCTAGTGACTAGGAAGTAAACAAACAGCTGATGTATAAAATATTCTATTTGTGGGTATTGGTGTCTTTTTTCCCTGTGGAATATACACATAGTTCCCTTAAATTTTATTAATAGACATTCTGTATTCTTTTGGTGTAAGTTTAAAAGCAAGACATCAAATGAAAATATGTATTACGTACTTATGATGTGTTATATCTATTGTGATTACATCATGCGAGAGAACAGTTCTTATAATTCAAGTAATTCAAATTTCAAGTTATACAAATGTTACCATTTTCACATTGGAAGCCCATCTAAGTACCATTTTCATTGGGGGCAGGGAGAAGGTTTATATTTAAATTTTATATTACCAAACATAGAAGTACAGTGCTGTACTGATGGTTTTGTTTAAAGTTTTTGAAATGTTTACTAGTTCTTGTAATCATTATTTTAGACAAGCGTGAAAACTTGAAATTGTTGAAACTTATAATTTAAATTAAATTGGAAATTACTTTCAGAATTTGGTAGTATACAAGATGTGCCCCTTTGTCTAAATAAATGTTGGCTTAATTTGCAGATTAGATAAAACAATTGATGTTTTTGTGTATTCAAGAGTGTATTAAATTCTTTTAATAGTAAAAAGTCAAATTACAACCATAATGAGTATTTTATTAATCTTGTTCTTGTTCGGTATTTTGCATAGATTTTTATTGTAATTGTCCTGAGTTCTACAGTATGTGGACAATATCGTGTGAAGTGTGTTTTTGCATTTGTGCATTTAAATTATTTATGTAACTAGGGCTCTGAGTAACACTTTTTTTTTTGGTTGAAGAAAAGCTATATTTAAATATTCAAATAATTATATATTTCCATGTAAAACTAATGTGAAGACTAATGTATTTTTTATATTGCAATGTAAAAGCTAAACTTGTTTTTGATGTTATCAAGATAAAATTTATTAAACCTTGAAATTTGTCTCTGTTCTCTCTTCATGTTAGAAACTTTTTCTGGGAATACTCGAAGAATAAGAGAATAATGGCCTGAGAGATAATAAATGAGAGAATGTAAATGTTGATGCCAGCGAGAAAATAGTTTAACCAAAGATATACAGATTATATTTGATGCAGTAGTTATTTCAAAGGATTAAAATTAAACCATTTATTTGGCTGGTAGAGTGGTAGATTAGCAGCTTTTCACTTTGTGTACCTGGATTGAAAGGGCCCGTGAACAAGACTGAGTTCATGAGGCTGCATCTATATCACTGTTTGACACCTACTGGGAAGGGAGGACTTGGGAGCCTCCACTGCCACAGCATGTATTATAAAGGACAAGAAAACATGAGAAAGTGTATGTGGGTCAGTGAGGTAGGTGCCTTTGACCCCAGTAGTACTGACTTCCAGAGTTTGTTGGCCTAGATGTTATTGCCAGGATGAACAACATCCTAATATTTTTTTTCTTTCTTTCTTGAGGCGGAGCCTTTCTTCGTTGCCCAGGCTGGAGTGCAGTGGTGCAATTTCAGCTCACTGCAACCTCTGCCTTCCAGGTTCAAGTGATTCTCCTGCCTCAGCCTCCTGAGTAGCTGGAATTACATGCATGTGCCACCACACCCAGCTAATTTTTGTATTTTTTGTAGAGACTGGGTTTTACCATGTTGGCCAGGCTGGTCTCGAACTCCAGACCTCAGTTTGAGACCACCTGCCTTGGCCTCCCAAAGTGCTGGGATTACAAGCATGAGCCACCACACCCGGCCTCTAATATTTATAATAAAAATCACGGCTGGGCATGGTGGCTCACGCCTGTAATCCTAGCACTTTGGGAGGCCGAGGTGGGTGGATCACGAGGTCAGGAGATCAAGACCATCCTGGCTAACATGGTGAAACCCCGTCTCTACTAAATGCAAAAAAGTAACCTGGCCTGGTGGCAGGTGCCTGTAGTCCCCACTACTCAGGAGGCTGAGGCAGGAGAATGGCGTGAACCCGGGAGGTGGAGCTTGCAGTGAGCCAAGATCACGCCACTGCACTCCAGCCCGGGCGACAGAGCGAGACTCTGTCTCAAAAAATAAATAAATAAATAAATGACTAGAGTGAAAATGTAAAATGGAGTCCATTTTCAGCAACGGGCTTCTATGTAAAGAAAATATAGTTTGTTGTTGAATCTTCAAGTATAAACTTATAATTTTCTGTGTTTATAATTTATTACATGAATGTTATAATAAATTTATTTCCAGGTTTCCTTATTTTAAGGTTAAAAGGGGTGTGTGTGTGTGTGTGTGTGTGTGAATATCTTGGCCCTTACTGAGTGCCAGACATTGTTCTAAGTTTTTAATCTGTTATCTCATTTGATCTTCAAAGGACCATTATGAGTTAGATACTGTAATTTTCACGATATATTAGATGAGAAAATTGTGGCATATTGTAGTTTATAGTTAATCATCATTCCCACCCTCCAGTTCCAAGCCAGCACTAATCTACTTTCTGTCTTTGTAGTATAGCCTTTTCTGGATAGTTCATATGAATGGAGTAGTAAAATACGTGGCCTTTTGTGTTGGCTACTTTCATTTACCACGATGTTTTGTTGTTGTGTTGTAGCACAAAATTTGTTCCTTTTTATTGCTGAATAATACTTACAGTTCATTTTTAATGAAAATAATAACACAGCCCTGGTCTCCTGGTAGCAAATATGAGAAAACCACTAGGTTTGAGCCTAGCTATTCCCTTTATCCCTCTTCTGTGTGTTATCCTTGGTAACTCCCCAGACCCAAGACCAGACAGGACCATTGCCTTCTAGAGTTCTCTTATTCCATACCTGGATGTTTGTGCTTCCTCTCTTGGACTTTTTGTCCCTTTACTACCCTTCCTGGCATTCTTTTCACTGTTCTGTGAATTCTCATTTTCAGTGTCAACACATTACCCTGTGTTCTCAGTGCTTTCATAGTGGATTGTTGGCAGGTAATTGGAATCTGAGAATTTTATCCAAGTTGCTCATTATTCTAATCTCCATGAGCCACAGAGCCAGGAACTGCTGATGGTGTACTGGTTGTGGCGAACACTCTTTTTTGAAAATTACTCTCTTATATAACCACAGCATGTATCATCAAAATCAGGAAATCAGCATTGATCTGATAAGACCATCTACTCCACAGACGTTGTTCAGGTTTGGGGGATTATTCCAGAATGTTCTCTCCTGGTCCAGGATTTGATCCAAGATTATCTACTGGCATGACTCTAATTTTCTTCAGTATGGAGCAGTTCCTCAGCCTTTCTTTGTATTTCATAGCATAACTTATTGAAGATAACTAGTTTCTTTTTGGTGGAAACTCAGTTTAATGTTTCTTCATAATCTGCTTTTCTAGGGGAGGAGCAGAAATTCTGTATTCTTAGTGAACTAGAGCCATGTGATGTCAATTTGAATAAATGTGATAGAAGATACCCAGTGTTGGTCCTTAGGGAAAAAGGTTTTCATAATCAGATAGAAGTGGGGGCTCCCACTGAGGTTGAGTTATCAACAAATAGTTACATTTTCTGGCAGTATTGACTGTGAATTTTATCTAATTATTTAACTCATAGATAAGACAATCACTTATTCATACATTTAACAAATATTACTTCTACCCCTACTACATGCTTACCCCTGTGTGGGTGCCAGGGATCCAGGCATCAACCAAACAGGCCTCTGGTTGCTCACCCTTATGCACTGATACGTGTGAGGGGGAATTTGAGTAGTGGTAAGTCAGTGGGCTTGCAACATAATTCTTGTGCTTTCAAAAATCGTTCATAGACTCATATAGCTAACACTCACAGGATACTGCTCTTTGGCATTGACCAATTCCTCCACTTTCTGCCTTGAGACCCATTGCAAGCTGTTTCTGATCATTGTCTGGAAAGATTGTTTTCCTGTGTTTGTGTTATTTTGAAAAGGCTCTCTGTGTTGGTTTGGTGCACCAGGATAGTGTTATGTAGACTCACTTGCCACAGAAAAAAAAAAAAAAAAAAATCCTAAGGAGAAGTTGGTATACTCATCAGATGTTAAGTTTTTGAGCTGAGATTTTGTCAGCTTTTTTGACCTGGAAAAATAGAAGGCTTACTATTTTTTTTTTTTTTCGAGAGTTGTCACTGGTCACAGATAATTAAATAAGTAAATTGAGTGGTGTTTATCCATTGAGCTAGACCTAGTTTACTAGCTGATTGACTACCTGAAAATCTGAGTTTGAATGTGGTTATTTCACTGTGTCAAATGGTAGCCTAGTAATTGATTATTAGTGCTGTTTTACACAGTGGCCTTCTTATGTCTAGGGTATATTTAGGTGAGTGAGTGAGGTAGCTTTGATGCCTTAATAGAACCAGAGAAACCACTTGGCCATAATAACTGATAGTTTTCGGGTTTTCATACTGTGCTTACTACTTAACACATCTGTAACCTAGCAGAGGTGCAACGTTCCTCTTCTTTTTGTTCCTACAGAGAAAGGATCTCAAGTCTAACTTAGAATGTGGCATAACAATGTGTGACAGTCTTTTGAGGAACAAATCACAGTAATCCCAAATTGCCCAGGGTAATCGATAGCAACTGCCAGATTGCATTTGGAGCCAGGACATTTCTTTGGCTATACTGGATGATCATGTAAGATCTGGAAGAACATGAGGATGGTTATAAGTGGCTGGATAAAAACAAAATGAAAATATATGAGTTCCTGTTGCGCTAAAGATGTTGATGAGAATTATTCTGAAGAAAAATGGCCACTACATTTTAAGTGCTAATTTAAGAATGGCTGCTGCTGCTTAGAGATTGTTGAGTATACTGATTCTAAATTACGTAGTTTAAATTGTGTAAATTTAAATTCTGGAGTAGGTTTTTTTTTTTAATATCGTATCCATCATAAAACAGCTGTTTTCACTTGCCATAGGTGAAACTATGGGCAAACATTTATGTGCAGGTGTGTTGTAGCAACAGATCTTGTTAACAGTGTAAGTGCTTAAGGAATTTTTAGTACAGATTCTGTGAGTTAAAATTACAGTATGGAATGGTCATGAAGCCTGATTCCCTTCCTCAGCCTCACTGTCCAGTAGAAAAACAATCCTGATTTAGTCTTCAATATGTAATCTATCTTCTTCTTGGACATACAGAAGGGTTTGTATTATATAGTATTTAGGGCTTAACATCTTGTACCAAGTAATTTTGGTTTTCTTCTGAATCACAGTAAAACTATGTGGAAATCAATTCAAGAAAAATTTGCTTGATGCTAGTGCATGATGGTAAGTGGGGGCATTGGGAGTTCATCCTGAGTAAAGGAAGAGAGCCTGTTCCTTAAGCAGAGTCCATTCTGCCAGTGAATTGCCCACATCTCCAAATGAACATAATGCAGTTGGGTCGGGGAGAATGACACAGGAGGCTCAGCATCATTTCTGTCTCCTCACTTTTCTTGGCACCATATCCTAACACAAAGTTTTATTGAATATTTACCTAAAATTTCTCCCACATTGGTTATTTTCACTTCTGTGGTTTGACACTGTGATAACAGATGGAACAAACAAGAGCCTGGTCAAAACTTCAAACAAAAAATCTGGGGAACAAGCTGTCCACAGGGTCTTTGAAAAGCTCTGATACATTCCCAGGGATCTAAAAGGTTGCATAAATGTGCAAAACTGTGGGCATGCCTGGGAAAGACCTGAGAGGGCCCTACTCTTTCACCTCTGGCTGATTGGAGTTTCTGTGCAAGTAGGAAGTGAAGGCTAAGGCAGAGTTCTAAGCTGCCTGAATGTTGAGGGCATGTCTTAACACACATACATACATCTAGAGCTTCTCAGCAAATAATGGAATATTTATTGGTTCACAGAATTTAAGGAAATGTCTGTCAAATCATTGGCTGACCACTAAGTTAACTGAGCAGAGACTTCAGTTGCTGTACAGTACAGGGAGTAAAGACTATTGAATTAGTCCCGGAAGGTCACTATGCTAACAAATAGCAGCAGCAGAA